TAACTGCATTTTGCTATTTCAATATGTATCCATATTAAAATGTACGGACATCAGATATCCTTTATGAAGTGGTGTACACTATCAGCATTCTAGAGACACACTAATAGTGTCAATTGAGTTGAGGCATGATGAAGACCAAATTGTAATCTTTCCTTGAAGAAGAAGTTGTAAAAGATGCTTGTGTGCAATAGAGAAGAAGTAACTTAAATCCACTATGGATTTTTGATTGTTTTGAAGTTATTTATTGATTGATGATAGCAGCTTATATGAATAACGCCATTGTACTTTTAATTTCAATTTCTTGTGAAAAGAAATGTATATCTGAATTTGAATTTATCCAACTCCATTGATATTGTATATGAAGTTAAGAACTTATCTCTTGGATGAAGTTGAATCGTTATTGCTTCTTTGAGACATACTTTGATGTATTGCCCCCCATATTTTTGGAGGCACTGTTAGACTATTAAAATCTTTATATTATTGATGATTTTATCAATCACTTTGCTTTCATGAGATATTCTTTAGAGATAATGTTTACTTAAAACATTGCTCGATGATGCTGACCTCTGTAGAAGAGGTTGCTATAATCCACTAAGGATGTATGACCTTTCTGAGATTGTATGTCAGAGTGCTTTGCTTGACGACGTTAACATATATGGAAGAGGTCGAGAGAATCCACCAAGGATGTGAGATCTATCCGAGGTTGTATTTCGGAGCCTTTGCTCAACGATGTTAACCTGTATGGAAGAGGCCAAGAGAATCCACCAAGGATGTGATACCTATCCGAGGTTGCATGTTTGGGCCTTAGCTCGACGACATTAACCTGTATGGAAGAGGTCGAGAGAATCCACCAAGGATGTGAGACTTATCTGAGGTTGTATGTCGGAGCTCTTGTTCGACAATGTTAACATGTATGGAAGATGTAGAGAGAATCAATCAAATATGTGAGACCTATCTGAAGTTGTATGTCGAAACCCTTGCTCGACGACATTAACCTGTATGGAAGAGGTCGAGAGAATCAATCAAGGATGTGAGACCTATCCGATGTTGTATATCGGAGCCCTTGCTCGATGATGTTAACCTGTGTGGAAGAGGTCGAGAGAATCCACCAAGAATGTGAGACCTATCCGAGGTTGTATGTCGGAGCCCTTGCTTGATGACATTAACTTGTGTGGAAAAAGTCAAGAGAATCCACCAAGGATGTGAAACCTATTTGAGGTTATATGTCGAAGCCCTTGCTCGATGACGTTAACCTGTGTGGAAGAGGTTGAGAGAATCCACCAAGGATGTGAGACCTATCTAAGGTTGTATGTCAGAGCATTGCTCGATGAAATTAACATGTGTGGAAGAGGTCAAGAGAATCCACCAATGATGTGAGACCTATCCGAGGTTATATGTCAGAGCCTTGCTCGACGACGTTAACCTATATTGAAGAGGTCGAGAGAATCCACCAAGGATGTAAGACCTATCCGAGGTTGTTTGTCATAGCCTTTACTCGATGATGTTAACCTGTGTAGAAGAGGTCGAGAGAATCCACAAGGATATAAGACCTATCTGAGGTTGTATATAAGAGCATTTGCTTGATGACTTTAACATGTATGGAAGAGGTCGAGAGAATCCATCAAGGATGTAGAACCTATCCGAAGTTGTATGTCAGAGCATTTGCTCGATGACGTTAACCTGTATGGAAGAGGTCGAGAGAATCTACCAAGGATGTAGGACCTATCCGAGGTTGTATGTCAGAGTCTTTGCTCGATGATGTTAACCTATGTGGAAGAGGTTGAGAGAATCCACCAAGGATGTAAGACCTATCCGATATTGTATGTCAGAGCCTTTGCTCGATGTCGTTAACCTGTATGGAAGATGTCGAGATAATTCACAAAAGATGTAAGAACTATCTGAGGTTATATGTAAGAGTCTTGCTCGATGATGTTAACTTATATGGAAGAGGTCGAGAGAATCCACCAAGGATGTGAGACCTATACGAGGTTGTATGTCGGAGCCCTTGCTCGATGATGTTAATATGTGTGGAAGAGGTCGAGAGAATTTACTAAGGATGTGAGACATATCCGAGGTTGTATGTCAGAGCCTTACTCAATGACATTAACCTGTGTGGAAGAGGTCGAGAGAATCCACCAAAGATGTGAGACCTATCCGAGGTTATATGTCAGAGCCTTGCTTGATGATGATAACCTATATAGAAGAGGTCGAGAGAATCCACCAAGGATGTAAGACCTATCCGAGGTTGTCTGTCAGAGCCTTTAATCGATGACGTTAACCTGTGTTGAAGAGGTCGAGAGAATCCACAAGTATGTAAGACCTATCTGAGATTGTATGTTATAGCATTTGCTTGATGACGTTAATATGTGTGGAAGAGTTTGAGAGAATCCATCAATGATGTAGGACCTATCTGAAGTTGTATGTTAGAGCATTTGCTCGATGACGTTAACCTGTATGGAAGAGGTCGAGAGAATCCACCAAGGATGTAGAACCTATCCGAGCTTGTATGTTAGAGCCTTTGCTCGATGACGTTAACCTATGTGGAAGAGGTCGAGAGAATCCACCAAGGATGTAAGACATATCCGAGGTTGTATGTCAGATCCTTTGCTCGATGACGTTAACCTCTGTGAAAGAGGTCGAGATAATCCACTAAGGATATAAGACCTATCTGAGGTTGTATATCAGAGCCTTGCTCGATGACATTAACCTATATGAAAGATGTTGAGAGAATCCACCAAGGATGTAAGACCTATCTGATGTTGTATGTCAGAGCTTTTGCTCGATGACGTTAACCTGTGTGAAAGAGGTCGAGAGAATCCACCAAGGATGTAGGAATTATCCGAGGTTGTATCTCAGAGCCTTTTCTCGATGAAACTAACTTGTGTGGAAGAGGTCAAGAGAATCCACTAAGGATGTAAGACATATACGAGGTTGTATGTCAGAGCCTTGCTCGATGACGTTAACCTATATGGAAGAGGTCCAGAGAATCCACCAAGAATGTAAGACCTATCCGAGATTGTATGTCAGAGCCTTTACTCGATAACATTAACCTGCATGGAAGATGTAGAGAGAATCCATAAAGGATGTAAGACCTATCCGAGGTTGTATGTCAGAGTATTTGCTTGATGACATTAACCTGTGTGGAAAAGGTCGAATCGGATCCCCCTAGGATCAATTTTGCCTTGATTGGGAGGGGGCGAACGTCGCGTGTATCCCGAATCAAATGTGAAGAATGGTCTATCTTTAGACCATTACTGCCTCTTTGAGGTCGAGATCAAGACCTTGCCCAAGGAGTAGAAGTCCAGCAGTGGACTGTATGAAGCTTATAATTTATTTAAATTATCCTTGCATTTGATGGGATTTTCATGAAATATCATCTTAATGTTGGAAGTATTGGAGGGATCTTTTTTACCATAGTTTGAGTTAAAGTTGCCCCCAGTCCGGATCTAATTCCCACGAAATTGATGAAGCAATAACTGAAGTTAGGAAGTTGAAATGAAGACCTTTTGAGGTTGGAGCAAAAATTGCCCCCCAGTCGGGAATCACTTTCCCACAGACGGTGCCAAACTATTGCGTCCAAGAGTTTTTGCGACGATAGATAAATATAAAGTTTAACGTCTTATCATTGTATGAAAATTCGGCACGCAATCAGATAAAAAAATGTGTGTAGCATTCATAGAAGACACCAAGATTTTTACGTGGAAAACCCCTGAAAAAGGGGAAAAAACCACGGGGCCTAGCCTAGTTCGAATGAATCCACTAGTATAACTGTTGATTACAAATGAGGCCCTTCATTGAGAGAAGGCCTTAGCTTGATGTACATTTTATAGAGTACATTACATGTTGGGAATACAAAGGGTCATTGTTGACGCATTCGCTTTGTTGGAAGGACTGTAGTTAGCGGGCGACGGAAGTCAGGAGGACCGTAGTCAGCTGGCGACGGAGGTCAGAAAGACTGTAGTCGGTGGGCGACGTAATTCAGGAGGACCATAATCGGTTGGCGACAGAGGTCAGAAAGACTATAATCGGTGGGCGAAGGATGTCGGAAAGACTGTAGTCTACGGACGACGTAAGTCAGGAGAATAGTAGTCAACTGGCGATGAAGGTGAGAAGGACGGCGTCAGTAGAAGTTCAAGAATGGAAAGAAATCCATCTTTGGATAGACGTCTAGCGAAAGTTCGATAACCGATAGAAGTCTGGTGTCCGGTAGAAACTTGGCGAAGAGTGAAGGTCGTAGAAGTCCGACGTTTGTTGGTGGCCGAGGAGAACTCCTACTTCACTTGGGCAAAGTTTCAGCATCAGGAGGGAACTCTGTCATTAATTAGACAGAATTTCAGCATCCCGTGAAAGTTGGGCAGAATTTTGGCGTCATTTGTAGTTCGGGAGGAACTCCGACGGTGGTAGAGGAGGAGTCTCTTCCCTCCTATTCTTCTCTTCTTCTTCTCCTCATTCTTGCTTCGGTCCTTTGCTTCCGTCCCTTCTCATGAGAAATGAGGGGTCTATTTATAGATTTTATGGAGTGGCATAGCTTGTAAATAGGTGTGAGATCAGGGGCAAATAGGGAGTGGTCGAATTGACGGTTGATATTGAATCCCTTGATTGGGCACCGTTCGTCAGACATTTAAAGGTCTTAATGATGTTGAAATTTGGCGATCTTGGGCTCGTTGGATTCGTCTCGTCGAGCCGTTCGATTCAACTATAAGCTAGTTAAAATCGGAAACTGTTTGGTATATTAATTCACTAATGTAGCACATTAATAAAGAGTTAAAAGTTATAACATGCACTAATAACTATTAAAAATGGATAATATATGTTAATAAAACTTCTTTAATAATAAAAATTCATTTTAACTATTTAATTGAAAAATTATGAAATATTACATTGCTCAATAATTAAAATAAAATATATTTTTTTAATTAAAAATTCAGGCCAGATTGTCTCCTAACTTAATATTATAAAATAGTAAAATACCACCCCACATACTATTTATCTCATCCGCTGCCTTTATTCTTTCGCCTCTTTCTCTCAATCCGTAACCCTATCGGCTTTTGCCGCCCACGATTAGGGTTTCGCTTTCTCGTCGATCGCCCCACTTTGATCCTCGGATTTAGGTTTTCATCCCGCTTAGGAAATGATGCAAGGTGGAGGAATGGTTCCGCCTTCGATGGACCAGCAGTATCAGATGCATCCACCTCCGCAGTATCAGATGCCGCCGCCGACACAGCCTGTTCCGCCACAATGGGGAACCGTTCCACCGCCTGCGCCTCAACCGCAGTACCCTCCGGCGCAGCCGATTCCGATGTGGAGCCAGCAACCTGCTCAGATTCCTCCGGCGCAGTCTATGCCGCCTATGCAGCAGCCGCAACAATTTCAACCCCAGTATGGCGCGCCCATGCAAACACTTGCCAACGTTCCTTTCCCGGCTGCGCAACCTCAGTCTGCCGACGAGATTCGCACTCTCTGGATTGGAGACCTGCAGTATTGGATGGAGGAATCATACATCAGTAATTGCTTCGCGCAAAGCGGGGAGGTTAGTTTGACTTTCTGCTCAGTTCAGAGAATTACCTTCTTCCGGTTTTCTTTTCCCGTTTGCATATTCGTTTATGAATTATTCACGGATAAACGTTGCCACAGGTTGTGTCTGTGAAGCTTATCAGGAACAAGCAAACTGGGCAATTGGAAAGCTATGGTTTTATTGAGTTTACTTCTCGTGCGGCTGCAGAGCGAGTCCTTCAGGCTTACAATGGAACATTGATGCCTAATTCTGACCAAGTTTTCAGGTTGAACTGGGCATCTGCAGGTGGAAAAAAGGGTGATGATGCTGGTGATTTTACAATATTTGTTGGGGATTTGGCATCTGACGTAACAGATTTTATGTTACAAGAGGCATTTAGGAGCCACTATCCATCCGTGAAGGGGGCGAAACTTGTTACAGATAGAATTACTGGGCGTTCAAAGGGCTATGGATTTGTTAGGTTTGGAGATTTGAGCGAGCAAACTCGAGCCCTGACTGAAATGAATGGGGTTTATTGTTCTTCTAGACCCATGCGGGTTGGCCAAGCAGCCAGTAAAAGGTCTACTGATGGGCAGCAGCAAGATTCCACAAAAGGTTAGAAAAACAATTAGCTTTTTTGCTCATGATTTATTTATTTTTTGCTTATGAATATAAATTTTAATGATCATGCTACACCCTCAAATCCAAGCATAAAATCCCAAAGCATTGATTCTGTTGCACTAAATCTGCATTTATTATTCACATCATTGTTTTCCATTTTATAAAAGGAACATAAGCATCCACAATCCACATAAGCGTGGACTTTTATGTGTGAATTTTTTTGAGGAGTGTAGCATTACAAAAAAAAATGTTAGATGCTTGTTTCATCCCCTATTCTGTTTATTATTTTTAAGCTTTTTGCAGGTAGTCTTAACAATGTTCAAGTCACTAGTGGCATCTATTGAAATAATTTATTTATATCATCATTTATTCTGTATATGTAGTGTTCAACTCAATGATATTTTTGACGCTGAAAGAGTGGATCTCATATTTTTATCTTGTTCACTTCAAATTTTACACATGAAGACAAGAGGAACTGCTTCTATATATATACCAAAGTCTTTTCCTTTTTACCAATTCTTTGTTTTAATTTGGGGTTATTAAATGCGACATTAAAGAATTAGAACTTATAAGCCCTCTTGTTGTCTAGAAGCAGGATGGCAAGAGGCTCTTTGATATAGGACCTGCAACTAATGTCAGCTGAGATGACCATCTTCTTTAGTGCGTGGCGTCGGTTAGGTCAGTTTTATTGATTATGGCATGAATGTGTCCAAACTATTTTTGTGGTGTTTTTGCATTTCATTTTCTCTTTCACTTTTCTCGCCAATTACTTTTTCAACTATCCCTATGGTTTTCAGTTGCTCTGTTTTCTCAAATTTAAATCTTCCAAATCCCTTATATTTAATTTCCTTATTTCTTGGAGTTTCTTTCTATCTCAATCTTATATTTTTTCTTCAATTATCCATTATGTTTCAGCTTTTACTGCTTCATTTTAATTCACTGCATCTTATCTTTTGGAATATCTTTTTTACTTCTTTCATCAGTGTTATTATTACACGTGAAGTTTATTCCCCTTTTTGTTTCAATATACAGTCAATGATCAAGCATTCTATTGTCTTCTAATTATAAGCGTTCATATTGTTGGAGAATTTTCAGCTACCATTTGCCATCTTTTCTCATTTCAGAAAGTCTTTTTTCATTTCATTTTGTTCCCATACTTTTGTGCAGCGTTGGGTATATTCTTTGAATTACAATGTAGACATATTATATGTGTGAATTTTTTACTAAGAGGCCTGGCAAATTTGTGCATGTGTGCATTTGCATCATTGAGTTTGAAGAGTTTGATGTTCCTGTTCCTACAAATTATCTTTTAAGTTAGCTGCAAATTATCTTGTAAGTTATCACTTCCACTTTTCGGAACAAATATTTGTGATGAAAGAGCATATTTAGGTTTAATTTGCAGACTATAATCTATTTTCTTTGGTTTCATGGTGTCATTTGGAACTTTTTTAGCCAACTAGTCATACTCCTACATGTTCATTTTGCCTAAAGTGGGAAATATTAAAGAACCCCGATATTTTTCAACATTTTTACCATATCCCTATTTGCACAACCATAGAACATAGAGGATATCATTCATATTTACTTGTTACACATATGTTAGAATCCAAATGAATTTTTCATGCGTTCTTCTCTATAAACATACTCAACTTTGTGCGTGATCATCTTTGTGATATATAGCAAGCCATTAATAACAAACTTTAAATGGTGATTGGGAACTCTGATCAGGTTGAATGAGTGGTTTTAAGGAAATTTTAATGGTATGATTGGGTAGAGTGTGTAGATTGTGCACAAAGCATTAGTATTACCTGATGATAGATCTTATTCTTCAAATGCTTTCCTTGTTAGGGAGGATGTCGACTGTATATAAGGGATGGAAATCCACATCTCTGTTATATTAACTTGCTTGACCTACTTGCAATTATCACCATGCTCTTGCTTTATAATATTGTTCTGCATCATCTCTATTAGACCTCTAAGAATTACTGTAGAGTTAAAAGAAATGTAGCCTTCACAAAATTTGTGCTAACTTGCTTGAATCAACGATGACCATGCAAGTTTTTGTTGGGAGAGGCTTGTGTTGGGTTGGATGAATCTGGGCTGCCACGAAATGGTCAATTTGAATATATATATTATTGTTTACCGCTATTGAATTAGTCGTGATAGTAATAAGACCATGATAATCATTTGCAGATTTAGAATATTCACAAAGTGATGTATTTATGTTTGAAAAAATTATATTGTGATGAGCAGATGGTGGGGAAGATTTTTTAGGTGGTTTAGTATCTATTTTATTGAGGGTTCAGTGGAGCAGCTTCTATTTATAAGGTCTATTTTAGGATTTTGTTGTGCTCTCGTAACTTAGTCAATTTGAATATATTTGTCATTGTTTACCACTACTGGATGGCTCAAAGTAGTAGGAAGACTATGATAATCAGTTGCAAATTTAGTAGGTTCCCAAGATGATGCTTTTTTATTTTTGTGGAGAATATATAGATTGAGCGGATGGTCGAGAAGATTTTTTTTCTAGTGAATTGTTAACAATTTTATGGTGCTGTGGATAGGAAGGCTTCCTTGTATAAGGTTTAGTGTAGGGTTTTGATTAAGTGTAAAGCATGAAGAGGATTGAGTTTTGCTCCTGCAACTTTCTAGAGGCATGATGCGGTCTTAGTTTTTCTCTACATTCATGTTGAATTATATTTTTCTCTAGTAAAGACTAATTGTATCTCATTTTGACATAATTGTTAAAGTGTATTATTGTGGCTTCCTTTTTCCTTTTATTTTTTGCACTATACTTTCAATTTGTTAAGCTTATGTGATTTTTCCAATATCAGGTAAAAAGTAAACATAAATATTTGGCATATTATGTGTTATTGGCTTACTAGTTTCTAGTTTGTGTTTTTAAGCATCCGAAATTAAAAAAAACTGGTTCACGGCTACACTAGCTCTTATACAAGGACATTTGCAGCAAATATGTGGATCAAATAATTTTACAGAAGTGTGTTTATTGACTGTTGTGTGGACTGGAAGTTGGTTTTTTATGAGCAGAATCGATGGATCATTAGGATTAGTCTATGAGAATTATACATGGCCTTGCTTTTCTGTTTAGCATACTAATGTCCTGATTTCAGTTAAATTCTGAAATGGAAGTTTTCTTTTACATGCATATGATATATGTTATATCCTTCCAGAGTTATCCATAGTTTCCTTTGCATTTTAAGGGAAGAAGAGGATTTTTCCAGTTTTTTTGTGATTAAATTTACGTTCTTGAATTCTGTGAGCACCCCCTATAACTATCTTGGCACTGTGGCGAAATGCCCTACTAAAATTTCTTATATTGCTGTTTTCAATAATGGAGATGTGTATTTTTATTCAGTTTTTTTATTATAACAGGAGGAGAATCGCCACTCTTCTCCCATTTAAATTTGTATGCAATAGCTTTAAATGTATGCTCATGTCCATTATTCCTCTTCATTTTCATTTGAACTACATGATCAAGGAATCTTGTTCCATTTCATTTTTGTCAGATGCTACGGGAGATTTGTGCCGTTTCATTTCTTTTGGGTACTAAATGAGATTTGTGTTTTGTTTCTTTTTTGTCGAGTGCTTCTTGAGATTTATACTAAATTTTATGCTTATTTTAAAAGAATTTTTAGCCCATGTTGCATTTCATCTACCTCTTTTCTTTTCTAGCCATTCCACATTTATTCTATCTATTTGCCTTATTGAAATTTACCTTATTAGTTCATCTGTTACTTTTTCTTAAATGTGCTCAAACCACTTAAATTTAATTTTCACTATATTTTCTTCAATAAAGACTACTTCCACAATACTTCTAGTAGAATCATTTTACATATATTATTTTTAATTTTAGCATGCATTCATCTTAACATCTTCATTCCTATCATAAATTAAGGTAATAAAATTTCATTGTAAATCTTTCATAAAGTTCTTCTTAGCAATTGTCAAATTATAGAAAATTGAAGTTTTTATTTATATATGTTGCAATATTATTAATATTATGTTATCATCACTCATAATGCATATAATTTGATCTATCCCTCTTGTTTTTTGTATTTTTTTAAACATTCTTCTTTTCAATCCTTAGTACCTATCCTACTATACCAATAAATCATCAATAGAGTTGACTTTGATTTTGCTAGCTAGCATTTTGATGAAACTTTTAACTTCCTTATATGTATTTGTTCCATTCATTATGTGTAGTTCTTATTTCATTTGCTTTTTTTGACCTCCTCACCTCATCCTTGTCTCTTAAGTACAAATTATGTTCGTTATAGAGCTGTTGTAATGCTCGATATTTTGTAGACTTTCCTAGAAATTTTATTGCAATTTTCTTTGCGTTACTTGCAACTTAAATCCATATCGAGTTTGGTATCTCTCAACAATCTATGTAGGAAGATTATTAACTTCTTTCTTGTAAATGTTTTTTTTTAGGTATTTATTTCATGGTAGTTTGCATTGGGTCTGTTGGGCCTCTCTCAAATTTATGGGAAAATTCTATAAGATGGTGAAGACTTGCAATGCTTTATTGTGCAGACTATTGGTCACTAAAAGATAGGGCTGCAAGCGAACCAAATGTTCGACGAGCTACTTGCTGTTCGGTTTGATTAAAGCTCGTTTGTGATCGTTTAATTAACTAAACAAACAAACTTGAACAATATTTTAAATACTCAGTTCTTAAATAAACAAACTTGAACACTAATGCGTTCGGCTCATTTATATTCGCAAACAATATCATTTGAAGTTCATGAACAAGCTCAACATTAAGCTCAATAAGAAGCTTGATAAAAGCTCGATTAGTGTTCGATTTTGAACTCGTGAATAAGCTCGACAAAAATAACTTGTTGTCTAAGTAATTATAGCTTTATATGGCTATTTATTTATAAATCATTGCCTTTATTAATGTTGCTTTTAGGAAAATTCTGTGAAGATAGGATTTGCTTATAAATCATTGCCTTTGTTACATAAACCATTGCTTTTATTATAAATGTGTTTGTTCATAGATATGTTCAGAACGGGTTTGTTTGATGGTTAAAAAAAATATGTCAAATATGTTCACGAATATGCTCGATGTAATCGTTTGTTAGGAAGCTCGATAAAGCTTGTTTGTTAAGTTAATGAACATTTAAAAGTAAAGCTCGTTTATAGCTCGTTCATGTTTGTTTGTTTAAAGCTCGATAAGCACTAAACGAACGAACATGAACTGAACATGAACCGAACATGAACACTCATTAATTTAAATGAACCAAACATGAACACAAACAATAAAGCTCGAACAAATATGAACCAAACTTGAACAACCTGATATTAAATGAACAGAAACATGAACAGTCACATACTTGGCTCGGCTCAGTTCGTTTGCAGCCCTACTAAAAGATAAGAGTAAAATTAAGTTTTGTAGAGATTAGGATGCTCAGACGGATGAGTGGCTTTACTTCTAGTGACATAATGAGAAATGAGTATATATGTGAAAAAATTTGAGTAGTTCCAATGGCATATAAGATTAAGAGAGTCGCCTTAGATTGTATGGTCACATAAAACGTCAGCCTTCTGATGACTCGGTTAGGAGAGTAGATGTATTATATTTGGCATATATTAAGAAAGGTAGAGGTAGACCTAAGAAGACTTGGTTAGAAAATATTAGAAATGATATTTTTTATTAGATTTGAATGAGAAGTTGACTCTTAACAGGACACAATGGAGAAAAAATGGATCATATTGCCGATCCGATGTAGTGGGATAAATGCTTGATGTTGTTGTTGTTGTTATATGGTAGTTTGATATGCAATTATAACTCTTCTATTAGGCGACCAAACTTTCTCTTGGGAACTCTTTATAATCTTTTCAAAATGTTATTTTTGAACTAAATTTAGTTTATATCTGATACAATATCTTCAAAATTAAAAACCTAAGTGCATTTTTTACTTCTTAAATATTAATTTATTAATGCAAGATAATATAATATATGGGATCAAATATAATTTCTCCTGGGTGATTTCTGTATTGTATTTCATTTCTCTATTATCCATCTTCTCTGTGCATCTTTTACAAAAATCTGTGGTCCGTTATAGCCTCATTTTATTTGTCTGATAAAAGAATGAACAATCTTCCTAATTTGCTTCATAAAAGTGTTTTTCGCAAGAACCTAAAATTCTCACATCAAGCAGCCTTTTATAAAATTTTTAAAGGAAAAAAAATGCAAGTTTTAGTTAAAGAGAAGCATTAATAAAGTACAGAGATAAAGATCAAAATGATTCCCCCTAACTCTTTACGAAGGAACAAAATGTTTCATGGCTTTCTAAATGATCTCGCATAAGAATTAATTTGGTCCCTATTTAAAAAGTCAAGGGACCAAATTGGTACTTTTATATATTTGAGTATTATTTTGATTCTTGATAAATTCGATTTTTTTTCTTATAAAGTACACTAAATCTTAAATTAGATGAGCTTCCTCTAAAGTATGAATTTAACCTTCATGATATCAAAGCAAGAACCTAAAATTCTCACATCAAGCAGCCTTTTATAAAATTTTTAAAGGAAAAAAAAATGCAAGTTTTAGTTAAAGAAAAGCATTAATAAAGTACAGAGATAAAGATCAAAATGATTCCCCCTAAATCTTTACGAAGGAACAAAATGTTTCATGGCTATTTAAAAGTTTCATCTTAGTTCCTTGACTTTTTAATAAGGATCTAAATGATCTCGCATAAGAATTAATTTGGTCCCTATTTAAAAAGTCAAGGGACCAAATTGGTACTTTTATATATTTGAGTATTATTTTGATTCTTGATAAATTCGATTTTTTTTCTTATAAAGTACACTAAATCTTAAATTAGATGAGCTTCCTCTAAAGTATGAATTTAACCTTCATGATATCAAATGATGCGTTTACAAATTTGCTCAATGACTGTTCTGGATAGATTCTTATATATGTGTAAAAGCTAGAATCTTATAAACAATATTTTTACCTCCCATGATAGCCTCTAGTAAAAGTATTGTATATGATTTACAAGAACTAGGAATCATTATACTGAATACTGCAAAAACAAGATGTTATATCTTTACGATTACTGTGTGTAAAGATACCCTAATATATATTTCAACAACCAAAATATGGATATGTTACGCCCAGGCCACGGTTGAATGGGAGCTCTAAGCCTTGTTCTAGAGAACCTAACCCAGCAGAAACAGGGAGGGGGTTTGGCACCCCCTTGTTGGGCCCAAGAAAGCTTTATTTCAATATGTAAGGAGGGGAAATAGAGGGAGAGATATTTAGGAAGGTTTTAATGATGTAATTGATGGGGAGATTATTTAGGGAAAGAGACTCTTTCCCTAAATAGTTCTCCCTAATTACATAATTGAAACCTTACTAAATATCTCTCTATTTCCCCTCCTTTACCTAAATAATTTCCCCCCAATTATATAATTAAAATCTTCCTAAATATCTCTCTATTTTCCCTCCTTACATATTGAATTAAAGTTTTCCTTGCCCCATAAGGGGCGCTGAACCCCTCCCCGTTCTGTACTGGGTTCGGTTCTCCTGAATTGGGTGGAGAGCTCCCACCCGATCATGGCATAACAGAATACTACTATGAAAACATTTTAAGGGTGGCTTCCTTCGGTTTACCTTATCGCTGTTTTCTTCCAATTTTTACAACTGCTGTTGTGATTTTTCTCCTTGTTTATGTTTTTAAAACGGAGAGACGATGTGCCAACGGTTCTGACAGATTGAATAATGCAGCAGACATGTAAACTAGTTCTTTGTACTCTGCCGTCTCTGTTGATGAATATCAAAACATGGTAGCGCTCATTGTCTTGATATTTATGGGTGAATGTAAATATTAGCTCGAGGAGCCTATAATAAATAGGTTTATCATGCTTTTATAATTTTTTTTTGGTTATTTGCAGCTTCATTCCAAAGTGTTCAGGGAAACAATTCGGAGAGTGACCCAAACAACACCACTGTGTGTACTCAATTTTTCCTGTGTTCCTCTGTACTCAACACCCTTTTGAAAGAAGCTGTAATCCATTTTATTCTGACAAATTCCCTCTTTCACTCAGATTTTTGTTGGCGGCCTGGATCCAAATGCTACGGAGGATATCTTGCGACAGATTTTTAGCCCTCATGGAGAACTGGTTCATGTGAAGATTCCTATTGGAAAGCGTTGTGGCTTTGTTCAGTTCGTTAACAGGTTGGAGTTTCGGAGTCACAGCAATTACATATCTTGATGATAGATAAGTTTTTATATTTTCTATATGCTTTGCAGAGCTTCTGCAGAGGAAGCTTTAATGATGTTGCAGGGAACTCAGCTTGGTGGGCAAAAGATGCGCCTTTCATGGGGTCGTAGTCCAAATAAGCAGGTTAAATATGTTCATGATGTTATGCTATACTTAGAACTTTTTTTTTTACTGTGGAGCTGAATGATATATTTGTGGGCTCTTGCAGCCGCAGCAAGACACTAATCAATGGAACGGAAACTACTATGGGTATGGACAAGGCTATGAAGCATATGGGTATGCTCAAGCTCCTCAGGATCCGAACATGTATGCATATGGAAATTATCCAGGATATGCAAATTATCAGCAACAGCAGGTATAATTATGATCCTCATTACCAAAAGAAACAAAAAATTTAAGGAGAAACTCTTTATTGCATTTGAATGATACATATTGCCAGGATAGAAAGTATTAATTCCTGATTTTGCTGCTAGTAATACTATTTATTTGAGTGGAAGGAAATTAAAAGAAAATTCAAGTCTATGGCTTCAGATTTATCTCCTTCACTTTAATTCAATTAAAGCAAAACCAAAATCTTTTTGAACCTCTGAAAATTCTCTTAAAAATAACCGCGGTGCTGTCAAGCTAAATGCTCTAGCAATCTAGCCAATCCAGCCATTTCTTTCCAATCTTGATGTTTTGCTTTCTATCGTTGAATTACTAATTTTTATAATTTTATTCTTTGCAGTGAATTTTACTGGGAATGCGTCATTTGACTTGCAGATGATAGCATTTGGTAAGCAGTATCTTGAATTTCACTAGCCGGTTTATTAGGTCGGGTTGCAGGGTACCTTAACGTGGATATAATAGATTATGTTTGGTTCATCTTCAGAGGCTGCATTATTTACGCTTTTTAAGTTTTTCCTTGGCAATGATACGTGAGTGTGTTGTCTTAACTCTAGTTACCTTTTCTCTGTAATTTCTATGATTGAGAAGTATCAAATTAACTGAGTAGCCGTTAGTATTTCTGGATTATTAATGAATGAAACTGGTCTATTCTAGCTTTTTTTGCTAAGTTATGTACTCTCGTTTTACTGTGCTGATTTTTCTTCACAAACAACATTCGTCAATCACGGTTCTTTTACCTATTATAGGATACTTAGCATCCAGATTTGAGTGGTCCTCTTAAAAGGAGTTGAGCGTTGGCGCCTATCCTACCCACTTAACCAAAGATTTGTTTCATTTATGGTTTAGTTGGATGGATTCAGTCGATCTCCCTTTCACTACTCTTTCCTCTCTAATAGTGCTGCATCTTTCCAGTTTTTCAGTATATGACAATCTTTCTGACCTGTTTCATAACTTTGTTGTTCTGCACGTGCATAATGCTTGTTATAAAATGTTGTGAGTCTATGTTCACCAATGTATGCATGCATTTACTTCTGCAAAATGTGAATCCAAGCATTACCTCTAAATTCACATATGATTTGATTTATGTTATCATGTTTCACATTAAGATGTACTTTTTTTTTGGGACATTTAAGCTAATTAATCTTTCGTTTGGAACAATTTTTTTGTTTCTTTCTAAAACGAATTTTTAGTACAAATTTTTTTTGAATTAGTAAATTTTGTACTAAAAAATCATTTTTGAAAGCAATAAAGAAGTTGTCTCAAATGAAGCTTAAGATAAACTCACACAAATATCATATATGTTAGACTTGAATCTAAAATTTTGTGGTTGGTAGTTAAAACATTCAACTAACAGACAAATGTGAGTTGTGTAAGATGTACTTTCAAATTCTACTAAATTTTGCTAAGTACTCGTGCTCTCATATGTTCGTGCCCTCATATGTTCGTGCCTTCGTATTGTATTTGTTTGGATGCATTTTAAATAGGAGAAAGAAATAGCCCCTTCATTTGATTTGGTGCATTCATTCTTTTACAAGCTAGCGCATGTTACTCTTGCGTGCGTTAATGTCGAACCTCAAAATGTATATCTTGATGTATTTGCATGTGTTTCAATGCAACTTTGCGTGCTTATTTGGTTTGAACAATCACATGAAAGTGAGCCATGAGATTTCATTAACAATTTGTTGGTTCTTTTATGATGTATATTTCATTTCAAACAAAAAATATACTAATGATAGTAATATGAGTCATAGTCCCTTAGTCTCAATAATGGTTAAACAAGAATGATGCAACTTCTCTATTCCTCGACCTTCGTCATCATTTAAAGCGCATTATAGTGATTCTTTTCAATGCCTCTTCATCTCCACAGTTTAACTAACCTTTTGTTCAACATTAATGTTGAATTATTATTATTATTTAGATAAGTATGCATTCAATGTCTTTTCCAACATAAAAAATCTTATGTTATAATAGGAATGAGATTGAATGATAATCATGGGTTCAAAAATAAATAATGTTTGATTCTTATTCAAATAAGGATTAAACATTTATTTCGAACATAGAACTCAACAATTAGATGCGAAATTAGGTTCGATAAAATTTTGGATAAGGAAAGAATTTGTAATGAGTTTTGAACATCGGTTGGACCTTTTAACATCATTTGAATCATTATCATATTTTGCAAACCTCTTTTAAACTAAGTTTGAAGCTTAACCCTCTTTTAAATAAGGTCATAACCCGACATTTATTGGAACATTTTCCATATTATCTTGTTAGGAATGAATTCATTTGAATTGTTTTGCTATGCATACAAATGTTCAAAGTAAACATTCTCGTGAAGAAAAAAATCACATCTAAAAAAATTTTCACTTGCAAGAGACATAATTCTCTTGAGCTCTAAGCCATCAACTTCACATAGGTGCGTGCATTTCTTATTAATTTACTAGTATTTTATGCTTCATATGTAATGATTGATACAACTATCAAACTAAGAAAATATTTAAATAAAAAGCTATTAGTCATCTATTCAGTATGTATGTCAGAGATATGTCATTTTGCAGCCATAACATCTAATTAGTTGAGATATAAATTATTATTAAATACTAAAAAATATAACTATATGATAGCAATTTTGTGCAAGTTTTTGGCCATTGCAAAGCACTTGCACAAGATTGATAACATAGATTGATGTTTTGCATATTTGCTAAGGATTTATTATATGTTGCTTACTTATTTGTCATAGTTGGAAAAATGACATACCTCTATATAAATTTGCTAAACATATGACTAATAGCTCTTAATTTCAATATTTGTTACTATGACAAAGTATTATTTACTTTTTCTATTGTTTTTTAATTGTGTAAGATTAAATGTAGTCATCACTTCTTCCAATACTTGAGATCCCAAGTAATGATAGAAAGGACATGTAAGGATAGCTCTTGGTTAAAAAATGAATATTATTTGAATCTCATGTTACATCTTTGAATGGGGTTTAAAGCTTGTTTGAGCTAAGTTCACATTATTAATCGATGCATATTTTTTGTATATCTTTTATTAACTTTCTTCTATCTTCAAGTATCTATGCTATTGCATTTATATCTACATTATACAACTTTGACCCCTCTATTATGTTGCAATAATTTAAAAGAGTAAAGATGTGTGTTTGAACAAGGTTCAAAAAGGGTTTGAGCATGATTCAAATATTTTTTTGTGACTTTTTTCCTAGTTCAAATATTCTTTAAAGCTAAGTTTTGCATCTAATACTTGAACCCCTAGGTCAAAATAGTTGTTCGAACATGGTTCGAACCCTAAATATAAGGTTTGAGCCACTAAATATAAGGTTTGAGCCTTGTTCATTTTTAAACATATGATTTTCCTATTATATCCTATCCATTATAACCTTGGATTATCAATGTTGGGAGAGAAGATAATTGCATTCAAATTTATATAATGAAACAAATAAACACTAACCTGTTGTTCTCTTTAAGGGCTCACATGAAACATTGTGATAAAGGGATCAGTTGGTGTGAAAGAGAGAGATATGTTGCTTAGAGGGTAGTGATGGCAATTGGAAGACATGTATTTCAATCATTTGAACATTCAAATTGTAACATCCCAATATTAAATTTTGAAAGAATTATCTATTTTATTCTCTTAATTAATCAACCAGAGCTTTTATGAATTCATCAACAGAAATCATTCCAATAGAAGCAACTAAAAATTATATACAGTAAAATATAAAATATTATTTATCTCTCATAATTCATATACAAAAGTCAGGAGATTAATAATTACATTCATTTCAACTTTTTAAGTTCATAACTACAAAAGTATATAAAAAAAACATGAATAAAATGAAACATGAATTCCTAATCTGTAATCCAATAAATCTTAACCCCTTTTTGAAAATATGTAAAATCACAAAGTGAGCCAATAGCTCAGTAGGTTACTAGAACATAAAATTAAAATCAATACAACATATTATAAACAATATGCATGTAATCATTCAATCAATATAAATATGAATATATAATTGTAAAATATGTGACAATCAATTTGATAAGTTTTATATCATATATAAGCAATAAAATCAGTATAAGCAATACAATTCAATTAATGATCAGTAGCTAAGTAGTGATCAGTATGTTCTGTCAATTTTATACCCAATATCTACAAAAATAATTTATATAATATTTTATTACATGAGTACACATGTTATTATCATATGAATGTTGAACAGTTTCTAAGCTATGCTTGTATATCATATAAATTATATGATTTATATATATCAAATGCATTTGTATCAATTTTATCAGATTTATCAAATACTTGTATCAATCATAGTATATATCTTATGCAAATCATTTCATGTCAATTAAGTAATTTATCATATATATATATATATAAGACATCTAATTATCTGCAATATTTTTCTTGAATCTAGTCCTGTAGGATAACTCTATATGAACAAGTTTTAATCATATCAGTCCATGTTTTCAAGAATCAATCATATCACATGTCATTTTAGATTAGGTGGCTTTCATATAAGAAGTCGTCACTTCTTGCCCATCAGTATATCATATTATATTAATTTGTCTCCTTATACCTTCATTTTTTATCATTTAGGATTACACTAAAAAAATTTATTTTAAAGAAAAACTCATTGGCACACCCTCCTCTATAGGATAACATGTCTCCAACCAACTTGAATCAATCAATCATTTTTAGCCAGCCTTTCTTACATATACACATTTCACTTATATATATTAAACAAGTAATATTATGCTCAATGTTCTGTTCATTGCACAATCTAGTGTATAAAAAATGTATATATAAATCATGACTAGTTATATTCATAAGAAAAATTAGTAAATGTATATGTACACAACATATAAATTATAACAAGTATATAAGTCATATATTTGTAAATGAAGTTTTGATAATTATTTATCTAAATTTCTCAGATCATTGCATTTTTTCTAAAAATAAAAAAATACCTAAGAAAAATTTATATTCTTATTAATATATGTTGAATAATTAAAACTATAACATATTTAAAGTTACTGGAGGAAATTTGCTAAAATTTGAAATATCACAATTTTTGTAAATTTTAATCAAATTAAAATAAACAAAATAAAATCATTGAAATCATAGGTAAGGCAACACCTTCCTTGAGAAGGGTAAATTTTAGGGTAAATTTTTAAAATAAATATCATTAAGAATCTAATTAACTATTAAACCATCAAAATAAATAAATTTAAAACTAGGCAAAGTCGCCCAATGAATGGGCGACTTGCTCAAGTTATAAAATCTTTAAGATGTTTTCGGGAGAGAGAAAATAAAATAGAAAGAAAACATTTCAGGAGAGAGAAAATAAAATAGAAATAAACTAACCGATAGAGAGAAATAAAGAATGAGAGATAAATACAAAAATTCAAAACGATTCTTTTTTTATTCACGGTGCCTTAGAGATGAGGTACATCAGATTTTTTTATTTTTTTATTTTTTATTAAAATCTTAAATGCAAATATTTTTTTCTTATTTTTAAATAAAATATTTTTTATGAGTTAATATGTATTAAAAAAATTCACAATTTAATTTTTCATAATTAATTTAAAAATAAATCTTTATTTTTTAATTTTTTGTTCATAATACAGTATTATTATTTTA